TATGGGTTCTCATCATTAATAAACACAGCTGAAAGCACCATCAGAAAGTCAAGAAATTTTAGTTCAGGGGCCATCTGTGTGTGTGTGTGTGTGTGTGTGTGTGTGTGTGTGTGTTTATGTCTATAAAATAGGTATATCTAGAAAACTTCACTTAAAAACAGCATAATACACATTTTTATCAAGCTCATACTGAACATTCACCAAGATAGACCACAATCTAGGCTATAACAAGACCTTAACAAATTTAAAAAAAAATAGAAATCGTATAAAGTATTCTTTCAGCCCACAATAAAATTAAACTAGGAATCAATAAAGATTTCTAGAAAGATAGGTGGAAAATTCTGAAACACTTAAAGATTAAACAACATACTTATAAATAACACATGGGTCAAAGAAGAAGTCTCCAGAAAACTTTAAAATATTTTGCTCTAATAAAGTAAGAATATATCCTATCTTGGGCAAGCCCGGTGGTGCACTGCTACAGTGCGCTGCTTGGGAGCACAGTGGTGCTCCCGCCGAGGGTTCGGATCCCACATACAGACCAGCCGCTCACTGGCTGAGCGAGGTGCGGGCGCAACACCGAGGGTTGTGATCCCGTTGCTGGTCCCGGTCCGGTACGGGCGCGACACTGAGGGTTGCGATCCGTTGCCGGTCACGAAAAAAGACAAAAAGGAAAAAAAATAATAAATAAAAAATTAGAAATGAAAAAGGTGATGTTAACAACTGATACCTCAGAAATACAAAGAATCATTAGAGACTACTATAAAAAACTATATGCCAACAAACTTGAAAATCTGGAGGAAACAGATAAATTTCTGGACACCTACAAACTATCAAAACTGAGCCAAGAAGATATAAAAAATCTGAACAGACCAATAACAATAAAAAAGATTGAAGCTGTTATCAGAAATCTCCCAACAAAGAAAAGCCCAGGACTAGACAGGTTCACTGCAGAGTTCTACCAAACCTTCAAAGAGGAATTGATACCAATTCTCTACAAATTCTTCCAAAAGATTGAAACAGAGGTTATTCTCCCAAACTCGTTCTATGAGGCAAACATCACTCTGATACCAAAACCAGACAAAGATACAACAAAAAAAGAAAACTACAAGCCAATATCTTTGATGAATATGGACACAAAACTCATCAATAAAATACTAGCTAACAAAATACAGCAACACATACACAAAATTATACACCATGATCAAGTGGGATTCATCCCAGTGACGCGAGGTTGGTTCAACATATGTAAATCAATAAATGTGATACACCACATCAATAAAATCAAAGACAAAGACCATATGATCATCTCTATAGACACTGAAAAAGCATTTGACAAAACTCAACATTCGTTCATGATAAAGACTCTCTACAAGATAGGTATACATGGAAAGTATCTCAACATAATTAAAGCCATATATGATAAGCCCACTGCCAATATTATCCTGAGTAGGTAAAAGCTGAAAGCTTTTCCCTTAAGAACAGGAACTAGACAAGGATGGGTACTCTCATCACTCCTGTTCAACATAGTGTTGGAAGTACTAGCCAGAGCAATCAGAGAAGAGAAGGAAATAAAGGGCATCCAGATTGGAAAAGATGAAGTCAAACTGTCCCTGTTTGCAGATCATATGGTCCTATATATTGAACAGCCTAAAGTATATGAAAAAACTCTTAGAGTTGATAAATGATTTCAGCAAAGTTGCAGCATACATAATAAAAAAAAATCAGTAGCATTTCTATACTCCAACAGTGAACATGCAGAAAAAGAAATCAAGAAAGCTAGCCCATTTACAATAGCCACCAAAAATAAAAAAATACTTAAGAATAAAGTTAACCAAGGATGTGAAAAATCTCTACAAAGAGAACTACAAACCACTGTTGAGAGATATTAAAGAGGACACAAGAAGATGGAAAGATATCCCATGCTCTTGCATCAGAAGAATTAACATTGTGAAAATGTCCATATTGCCCAAAGTGATCTACATATTCAATGCAATGCCCATCAAAATTCCAATGACATTTTTCTCAGAAATGGAAAAAACTACCCAGACATTTATATGGAATAACAAAAGACCATGCAAAGCCAAAGCAATCCTGAGCAAAAAGAAATAAAGCTGGAGGCACAACACGACCTGACTTTAAATTATACTACAAAGATGTAATAATGAAAACAGCATGGTACTGGCATAAAAACAGACACACAGATCAATGGAATAGAATAGAGAACCCAGAAATCAACCCATACACCTACAGCCATCTGATCTTTGACATAGGCAGCAAGTCTACACACTGGGGAAGAGACAGCTTCTTTAGCAAATTGTGCTGGAAAACTGGATATTCATATGTAGGAGAATGAAACTAGACCTGTACCTCTCACTATATACCAAAATAAACTCAAAATGGATTAAAGAATTAAATATACATCTTGAAACAATAAAGCTCCTTAAAGAAAACATAGGAGAAACACTCCAGGAAGTAGCAGTGGGTACAGACTTCATGAATATCTCCCCAGGGTTAGCCCCAGGAGTGTGCAGACCAGGCACAGGAGGGCTGCCCATCTGAAAATACAACTCCTCACTGGCTCGGCAGGGGAGAGCCATTTCTTTTTTTATGCTCTGGTCAGTTTTCAGCCTTTCAGAGTCTCCAGGGAACATTCAAAGGCCCCTCAGAGAAGGAAGCATTAACTGGAACCTTAAACATCACCAATTCTTATCCCTGGTAGAAACCTGGAAAAGGTCGTATAACTTCGTATAATGTATGCTATACGAAGTTATTACGAAAAGCACAGGCAACCAAAGGAAAAATAAACAAATGGGATTATTTCAAACTAAAAAGCTTCTGCACAGCAAAGGAAACATCAACAGAGTGAAAAGACAACCAACAGAGTTGGAGAAAATATTTGCAAAATATACATCTGATAAAGGATTAATATCCAGAATATACAAGGAACTCAAACAATTTTACAGCAAAAAACCACAAATAACTCTATTAAAAAATGGGCAAAGGCGCTGAATAGACATTTCTCAAAGGAAGATATATGAATGGTGAACAGACACATAAAAAAATGCTCAATATCATTCAGCATTCAGGAAATGCAAATCAAAACTACTTTGAGATACCATCTCACTCCAGTTAGGGTGGCAAATATCCAAAAAACTGTGAATGATAAATGTTGACAAGGTTGTGGAGAAAAAGGAACTCTCATACACTGTTGGTGGGACTGCAAAATGGTGCAGCCTTTATGGAAAATGGTATGGAAGTTCCTCAGACAATTACAGATAGACCTACCATATGACCCAGCTATTCCACTGCTGGGAATATACTCAGAGGAATAGAAATCATCATGCCAAAGGGATACCTGTACTCCCATGTTTATTGCAGCACTATTTACAATAGCCAAGCATTGCAACAAGCCAAGAGTTGGAACCAGCCCAAATGTCCATCATCAGATGAATGAATAAGGAAACTGTGGTATATCTATAGAATGGAATACTACTCTGCTATAAAAAAGAATGAATTACTACCACTTGCAACAACATGGATGGACTTAGAGAAAATTATATTAAGTGAAACAAGTCAGGCACAGAAAGAGAAATACCACATGTTCTCACTTATTTATGAAAGCTAAAAATAAATAAATAGACAAACAAATAAATGGGGGGGGAGACACAACAATCACAACGATTTCTTGAACTGGAAGACAAGTGAATAGATATGATATAGATGGAGGGGGAGGAGAAAAAGGGAAAGGGAGAGAGGAATGGGTAAAGGGAGATGAAAATCAACTACAATGTATATTGAGAAGTTAAAATAAAAAAAGAAATAAAAAAAGTTATGGGGGATATGAGTATGGAGTTGGGACTGAAAGAGCTGAGCTCTGGAACCTTCTCTGCTTACTACCAGGCCTAAACCAGGGAAGCAACCTTTTTATCTGTTCACATATTAGACTTCAACTGGGATTTCACCCGAATAAAAGGCCTATGTGAAAAAGAAAAAAAAAAATTTTTTTTTATCATGCAGATGGAGTCAATACAGGTGTAAAAGTTAAGGAGATTTCCTTCCATTGTGTTGATCACAAATTAATTGCCTTTTTGTGAATTATTTCCACAGAAATCAGCAACTCCATTAAAAAAAGTTGGCTAATCTGATAGAAATTTTAACCAAAATATTTCTATTGTAAATTCTATTATTTTTATTGCGGGAACAAATAAAAATGCCTAAATAAATACCTCATATATATTAAAAATAAAACAAAACACAAAACAACTCAAGTGTATTCTATCTTCCATAGATTATCAGCAATCACTTTAAAGGCATTAATAATAAGTGTTTTGGTGAACATTTTTAAGATTGTGAAATAAAGGTTTGCTCAAAAAAGCAATGATAAATTAATGTCAGTAAATGAAAAACAAAACCATCTAACAAATAATAAATCAAGAAATAAATTCTTCAAAGCTCTTTTTTGCCTTCCATGAATTGCACTGTTCCTAGTACAATATATTCTACCAACAAAGACATTTTTGACAATTATTTGTCACATTGCCATCAACCAAAATGCTATCCCAGTACCTTGCCATGTCCTTACTTAGTACAATACTTAACAAGTCACAAACTTTGTCTTTTATTATTTAATCTACAGCACTTCTTGTAATCACTGATACCTGTGCTCATGAAGATCAACAAAGTGGGTATCCCAGTACCTTGCCATGTCCTTACTTAGTACAATACTTAACAAGTCACAAACTTTGTCTTTTATTTTTTAATCTACAGCACTTCTTGTAATCACTGATACCTGTGCTCATGAAGATCAACAAAGTGGGATTTTCTCCATGTCCACAAATCTTTGAAACCCAAATAAATTGAAGCAAGATTCCCCTAGACTCTTATGAATGTTCTCAGAACTGCCTATAAGAATTCCATGCCAAACACCAAGATCAATTAAAGCTCACTCAGGCAAGTAACATTCACTCACATATTCACACTGACAATAGATTTTATACTTTTTTTTTCTTCTCCTCTCTTTGCATCAATTCTTTCTTTTTCCACAGTTTCTTTTTCTCCTCTTCCTTTTCTCTTCTTCTGGCAGAAATTTCCATTTCCAGTCTTGCTACCTCTTCCTGGTGAGCTCGCCATTGAAGAACCTGAAATAAATAGAAACACTTCATTCCAGTTAAGTATGCACTCTGAAGGGATTTCACAGGTCCTAATGAAACGAGGTTTTACATCAAGCATATGTCAAATTCTGTGCAAATACATATTTAAATTCTGTGTACACATGATTGTGAGATATTTGTGTGTATGATGTGTGTGTTTTAGTGTTAAAAGGAAAAAGCAACTTTAAAATCACCTCATTCAGAGATTCCTAAGTTGCATTCATGGAATGAAGTCCTAAAGAGTCTGTGATTTGACTCCAAAATATCTCTGAATTCCCATAAATATTACGTAAAAATTTCTTTGTTTTTGCACATGTGGTTTTCTGGAAAGAAGGTCAAACAACTTCCAAAAATTCTCAAATGGTCTTAAGACCCTAAAAAGTTTAAGAACCACTGATACATTTCAGCCTCCTTATTTTATAAGTATGGAAAATGAGCCTGAATTAAGATAAAAAAGATTTTAAGACATTTAACAAAAGCTTTCTGGGTACTGATATGTACTACTGGCAGAAGTATACTTGGTACATCTTTTCTGTTCAGTATTGGGTTATATTTAAATATGTATTACAATATAAAATAGTCTTTGACCCACAACCCTACTTCTGGGAACTTATCCAAAGAAGATAGTCAACCAGACAAGTACACAAAATGTACCCACATGTACTGCAATGATACTTAAAACAGAAAAATTGGAAAAAGTCTATATGTCTGGCAATAGAAGATGGCTTAAATTTAATTATGTTACCTTCATACAATGACTGCCACTGAAAAAGGATATTACATCTATACATTCATTGACCTAGAAAATGTCCACGACATATTATTAGATGCAAAAAGGCAGATGCAAAACCACACTTACGGTGTGATCTCATTAACATAAAATAGCATTGTGTATCTATACATAGAAAGAGATTTAGAAGGGAGTTTATCAAAATAATATTATTAGTTCTCTCTGAATAGAATCAATTCTAGGGATTTAAAAAATTTATCCTTTAAAACTTTCTGTGCTGGGTGACATTTTTACAATAAACAAGTAAGCAGGAAACCTATGAAACTAACAAAATAAAAACAAAAACTTACTTGGTCCATGTACACATTTGGCTGAGGAGGCAGCCAGGAGAGAAATGCAGAGGTGTGTAAAATTCTTTTTAGAAAAGGAAATACTAGCATCCCCAATTAAATTCATTTCTTTCATATTTGATGTAAACATTAGTCATTAATGGTAATATATAAAATGAAAATCAAATAAATAAAATAATATCCTGCAAATATGATTAGTGACCCTAAATAGTTAAGATCTTTTGCACTTACATTATTCAAAAATTTAGTTTTCTAAAATTATATTTTGCCCTGTTTATCAAAGTAACCAAGGAAAATCCTACTCCTGATTTCTAAGCACAGGTTAGTTTACCCCACCTGCTGCTTATTGTGGCTATCATATTTACCTTCTTATTTGGAACCCCATCCCTAACAATCAATCTTCAGTGCCTTTTGTTCTAACCTACTGCTTCCAGACCTTTCCTTTCTGTAGTTCATCTTCCATCTGTAACTTGCTACAGTTAAAATCAAGTGTTCTGTCAAGTGTTCCCAGTGGTCACCCTCCTGAATACCCAAAGGGTAGTTCCTTGACCTCCTGGTGGTACCTGGCCCTGTTAACCATCTTTTCACACTCAGAACTCTTTCCTTCTTAGTGCCTGGCATTGCCCTCCCCTGCTTCTCCACCAGTGGATACTGCTGACTTCTTTTCTTCTTCCTGCTTCCTGTGCCTACCCTACACCCTCAATTCTCTGTTATCCTCTCTCTGACCTCCAGCCTCTATGTTCATTATTTGATATGCTCATCCTCTTCGATGAGCTCATCACTTCTACATGTCTGACTGTAAAATTTATATTATCAGCTCTATCTTTTTGTCTGCAATCCAATCCTACATTAACAAATTCTTGAAGACATGGCTATTTGAATGTGCACTTACAATCCAACCTTTCCAAAATTAGACTCAACATCTTTAATTTTGCCACAGCTTCATATCAAGCCCCATGAACCTGCCCCTCCTTTTCAAATATCCTGTTTGGGCTGTAGAACCACAAGCCTCCTGTAAACTTGGATTTATTTTTTTAATTACTGTGTATACCCATCAACATGACTGTTTCTTTACAATTTACTTCTGACTTGGAAAAATCATACATTTCTTAAGCTCAGATGAGCTTTTATTTATGACAAGTCAATTTCCAAAACATTGAGCTTGGCTGTAGTTCCCCAGTTTACCCAAAGTGTTTCTGACAAATGTATTTAGAATGAGATGAGAATGTTCACAATGGTGATGTCAATTGATCAATATAGAAACTAAATACTTTAACTTTCTCACTCCCAACCAATGCCTCACTTTAACGTAGCTAATATATTATCTCTGGATAGGTTTGTTTTTGTACCTTCCCTTAAATGGCCATTCTCTTACCTTCAAGGAGTGATCCAAACTACTCCCCCACTTGGAATGCCCTCAAATTCCCCCACTACATAAAATGCTTGTGGCTTTTGAGAAATGCTTCACATTTTCTGTGAAACATTCTCCAACCTGTGCTCATCTCTCTTTTCTTATTTTGCTTATCATACCCTAACTGCTATCTAATTATTTTGAACATATTGTTTGTTTACACTTAGAATACAGTCCATGCATCTGTCTTCCTCTTATACTGTCTAGCAAAGTACTGGTACATCACAGGTGCTCAATAATTACCTTTTACTTAACTCATCAAAATTAATACTTCAAACAAAACTTAATAAATAAGAAGAAATGTTTGTATTAGAATACACCATATTGCAAGAATGGATGAAATAATGGATCCTAATTAAGGATCATCAATGGCTACTAAAAACTTCACACTGACATTTGATGGGAAACTATGAGAGATGGATCAGGCTGGTGACAACTGAACAGACTGAATAATCTTAACACCACAGAGAAATGAGTAGGTATTTTGCCTCCTGATAGAAGCCTACAGCATTTCCATGAACTATTCTTGCCAAAAAATACAAATGAATCTGATCAAATCTCTAGACCTACCTATCAGGTTACAGGAAATTCAGCCAACAGAGAAACATATTAAACAATAGGGTATGGGAATGAAATCAACAAAATTGAAATTTGAGAAAGTTTAACAAATTACAGGAAAAAAGGAGGAAAAGACAACTATGGATTGAAAGAGATTTAAGAAACGTATCAATTAAATACAATATTTGAATTATATTTGGATTCTGACTTGAATAAACCAAAAGTGAAAAGAAATTATGAGATAATTAGAGATATTTCAATACTGATTGGCTAGTCGATGCTATTAAGGGAATATTGTTGAAGTTTTTAGGTATTATAATAATAGTGTGCTTATGCTCTTTTGAGTCCTTTTAATCCTAGAGATATACGCTTAAATACTAGCAGATAAAATGAGACAATGTCCATTCTTACTACTCTCCAAGGGGCATGGGAGAGTATAGATGAAACAAATTCCACTAATGAGTTGAAGTTAAGTGATGACAGACTTTTGCATATGTTTAAAATTTTCCACACAAAAATTTTATTTAAAAAATGAAATAAATCATAAAATATAATGTACAACTGAAGAGATTTATATAATAAAATACTGCAGTCTTAAGGTTCTGAGGCAACAGGAAGAAAGATTTGCAATGCACGGAACCAGTGAAAGGAAAAGCTAGCACACATTAGGCCTTTCTGAGCACTGAGACTGTGTTTGGGTTTTGGATCTACTCTTCTCATCTCTTTGTTTAAGACTAACTTAGGGGAACTATCATTGAATGACCTTTATATATATGATGTCATATGATTTAAAGAAGCAAAAGCAAAAGCAAAGTTCTATAACTAGAGAAGATTTTGGTTTCCTAAGGCAATCAAGAAAATAACCTGTTTAAGACTAACTTAGGGGAACTATCATTGAATGACCTTTATATATATGATGTCATATGATTTAAAGAAGCAAAAACAAAAGCAAAGTTCTATAACTAGAGAAGATTTTGGTTTCCTAAGGCAATCAAGAAAATAACCAGACCAATCCAACCAGGTTAACCTGTTAACCCTTCCCTGTTATTTGCAAGACTAAATGATGCTGCTTCTGTTCTCCAGAAAAGATGACAAGATTATGTTGAGTTTTTAAAAGGGATATACACACCATAGAATCCTGAAACAGCTGCAAGTTCAGTAATCAGAAGCTGATGGGTTGTAGATGTCAAGTAACAAATGACAGAAAGAGAAGAATAGAAACACTGGGGAAAAAACCCTAGAGCAAGGCATCAGCTTTTAGAAGCTAAATCGCTTCCACTTAATATTGGAATCATGAGAATGCTCATGGGCACACAGAAGTTTACCTAAAGTCAGTAATTCACATCATTTGTAATTATAACCATATCAAAAAAAAAAAAA